GCCTAAGACCATTTCATACTCATGTAGTATGCTTTTTGTAACTTTTCTTTACATTTAAAGTACATTTAATATATATGGAAGAATAATGTATGGTTAAAAACCTTCAAAAACTTCAAATTGGTTGAAAAAAATGCATGTTTATGTAAGGCTTCCCTTAATTCGAAAATCTCTATTTTCAGGCACAGGCTCATATAAATTTGACTTTTGAATAACTGTGAAAAATCTGATGAATCAAATGAGTGTTCCGTTGCTTTTAATACTTATTATATTATATTCAAGAGTATTTAAAAAGCAAATTTTTGCAATATTTAAATTTTTTAGGCCAAAATCTTGACAGCTGAAAATATTTGATTTAAACGTCAAAAATAAACATCCAAATTTCAATATTAAAATGGCCCTAGTTTCTATAATATATATCCTATGTCCATGAAACTTGGCCAACTATCTTAAAATTGCCTAAGCTTAGGTCATGCAAAGTTTTATTAAAATTGGTCAAGTCTTTCTATCCTATTAGGTCCAAGGACACAGTTATCGTCCTTTGGTTTTCGTTGTCTACAAATATAGTCCCTAGTGTGAACAGTGTATAACTTGCATTTTTTTTTTATACACTTTCCCAATTTATTTCTTGATATTTTATGCATGAAATATTAAGTAAGGGGATGAAATTACATGTTAAAAAAATTTGGGTGCTGAATCTTTATGTTAAGTAGTGATTTGGTCCAGTTAAAAAAGGTCAAAAATTAGAATGTCGGAAGCTGTCAAACTGAATTTTAGCCCCCCTTAACACAGAATTGTCAATATTTTGAGTTAGAGCTGGTAGAAGTTTCTATAATTTTGATATTATTTGTATCAATAGTAGTACACTACACTGTAAAAATCTTTTTGAGATAGAGCAGGTGCGATTTTTTTAATTTGAATTTATTGTCTAAAAGAAATGCACTACGAAATAACTGTGTTCTCGGGCCTAAGAGATGAATTCCGTAAATGTAGATTCTGTACTTTGGCAACTTTCCTGAATGGTTTTCTGGTTTCAATTTGTCAAACTCAATAAAAGTAAAGGATTTACAGCTTTGTTTGACAGAAATTCTGTTAAAATGTCCCATTTTGGCATTATACTGCTAAAATAAGCATTTCAAAGCAGTTTCCATTTTATGCCTAAGAGCCATGCTGACTTTCTATCTGACAGCTTTTTATGTTCCTGATATTTGTGTTTCTATGCTTAAATCAAATTTAATTAACCATTTGTGAACTCGGAATCTAGAGAAAAGTAGATTATCTCAAAAAAAATGTGCAGAATATTTGTATTTATGTCCCTGGTTAAACGGCCTGTTTGATGTATGTGAAATGTGAAGAGCTTTGTACATAAAATCTGTAGTCCGTCACAAATATTTCACTAAATCTGTTAAAAAAACACTTTACAATGATCAGTACACCCTATTCATTTCATATGCTACCATAATTTTCTTCTTTAGGATAGTAAGTGGTTCAAATATATGCCAAATGAGACTAAAACTACATGCAAGTTTTCCATTGAAAAGTGAAAAACTGGTCATCAGACCATACTGTCTGCAAAAAAAAGTTGAATTCAAGAGTCCTTTTGCAATTAGACTTCTTGTATCATGACATCTTAGCATAGAAATGAGCAAAAAGTAACAAATTTCACTTCCTTATAGCCTCTGTGTGCATTTTTATATGTAAATATGGGCTACGGCCTAAATCGACTCTAAATAATTCTCAGTCTTACATGGCCTAAGACCATTTCATACTCATGTAGTATGCTTTTTGTAACTTTTCTTTACATTTAAAGTACATTTAATATATATGGAAGAATAATGTATGGTTAAAAACCTTCAAAAACTTCAAATTGGTTGAAAAAAATGCATGTTTATGTAAGGCTTCCCTTAATTCGAAAATCTCTATTTTCAGGCACAGGCTCATATAAATTTGACTTTTGAATAACTGTGAAAAATCTGATGAATCAAATGAGTGTTCCGTTGCTTTTAATACTTATTATATTATATTCAAGAGTATTTAAAAAGCAAATTTTTGCAATATTTAAATTTTTTAGGCCAAAATCTTGACAGCTGAAAATATTTGATTTAAACGTCAAAAATAAACATCCAAATTTCAATATTAAAATGGCCCTAGTTTCTATAATATATATCCTATGTCCATGAAACTTGGCCAACTATCTTAAAATTGCCTAAGCTTAGGTCATGCAAAGTTTTATTAAAATTGGTCAAGTCTTTCTATCCTATTAGGTCCAAGGACACAGTTATCGTCCTTTGGTTTTCGTTGTCTACAAATATAGTCCCTAGTGTGAACAGTGTATAACTTGCATTTTTTTTTTATACACTTTCCCAATTTATTTCTTGATATTTTATGCATGAAATATTAAGTAAGGGGATGAAATTACATGTTAAAAAAATTTGGGTGCTGAATCTTTATGTTAAGTAGTGATTTGGTCCAGTTAAAAAAGGTCAAAAATTAGAATGTCGGAAGCTGTCAAACTGAATTTTAGCCCCCCTTAACACAGAATTGTCAATATTTTGAGTTAGAGCTGGTAGAAGTTTCTATAATTTTGATATTATTTGTATCAATAGTAGTACACTACACTGTAAAAATCTTTTGGAGATAGAGCAGGTGCGATTTTTTTAATTTGAATTTATTGTCTAAAAGAAATGCACTACGAAATAACTGTGTTCTCGGGCCATATAGTGAGTGAAAATAACATAATTAATTTCGTGCATCCGAAGAGCTTTTTTTGCATTTACCTTCGCTCGAACCCAAACATTTGAAAGGCAAACATATGTATAGGACCTAAACAAAATAAATGACCAAAAGGGGTCTAAGATAGCCAAATTCGTCTATGGTCAAGAGTTTGGCTTTGTAAAAAGGACAAATTAATCACTAAAGAATTATTTACGTTAATATTATGTCTCAGTAAATAACATACAAAACCAAGTTTTAATATAAAAATAAAAAGACTGTATGTTGAGCACAACTGTCTTGTCTTTTTTTGTATTCTTTGAGTTGTTGTCTCCTTTAATATGTACCCACATGTCGTTCTATTCATACATTATGTTAACATGTACAACCCATGTTGTTTTGCTTTTAAGCTACTTCTGAAAAAGAAAAGTGCAGATCGTGAAATATTTTTGTTATTTAATGGCTTTTATGTTAACTTGTTACTTGATTGAGAACTATACAAACGCCATAACTGACCAAATAGGCCTATCATTTCATTGTATCGTACGTATATTTCGCAATAAAACCTTTCTAGCGTCGTACGTCTTTATAACCTGCGTCCTGTTGTTGAAAATCATGAGGTGAATGAAAAAACAACGTGCCGTTGTGTGTTTGTGATCAGATTAAAATTGTTGTAAAATATGTGTGGTATTTATAAAGCAAAACCTATATATACAGGTCAAATTCAATTATAGAGTTGATAACAAGTTAAATTATTTACTGACGTATGTTTTCTTTCCCCCTACAACGAAAAGAACTGATTTTCTCTGGTTATTCAACATATTTCTTATCATTTTAGCGAAATAACAATTATCATTGTGCATTATGTGTCATTATTTTTGTACAGAATGTATGAATCATCAGTCAGTATACTTTTTATTAATTGATATGAAATAAATTTCTACCTTCCAAGGGAGTTCTTTACTATTGTTATTGTCTCGCCTGCGACGAAAGTTGCGGAAAGCGATACATAGGGATTGCTTTTCCGGCGACGGCGTCACCACTTGTTAAGTTAGTATGATATGAATAACTTGTGAGAGATCATTGATATTTAATGTAAAGTTGCATTACACTCATTATATATCAGTTTGACGACTATCTTGAGGCCCTGCCACCTAGGTCCAGTGACTTTGAATTAATTAGCAATTTTCAGTGTTAAGTTTACTGCTTAACTTAGTTTCATAGGATCTACTTGTGATAGATCAATGATATTTTGTATAAAGTTGCATTACTATCAGTTCGTATTTTAGTTTGACGACTATTTTGAGGCCCTGGCCCCTAGGACATGGTCCAGTGACTTTGAATTAATTAGCAATTTTCAATGTTAAGTTTTCTGCTTAAGTTAGATTGATAGGAACTACTTACAATGGACAACGATATGTTCTACTGTCTGTACATCTCAGTTTGTGGATTATTTTCAGGACCTGCCCACTAGATCATGGTCCAGCGACTGAATTTATAAGCAATGTTGTTTTCCATCGGATTGTCTTTTTCTGAATTTCAAGCTGACAGGCGAGACATATCTCTGTGTCAACAGTTTATTTTAATTGCGGGTGTTTGTTTTTTAATGGAAATTCAAACCGTTGCTTGTATATATACTCATCAAATCAGGGAGTAAATTCCTAATTTTCAACTGGTACCAAATTCAGGGAGTAAATTCCTAATTGTCAACTGGTAAAAATTATTTTCTTTTGCACTAGTAGTAGCTGCTGAATCAAACATTTGATATTTTAAAAATTAATGTAACTGATTATTAGAACAAACCAATAGTTATAAAGTTTTTATAACGCCTCAATAAAAAATCAGTTAGCACAAACATCTTGTATTAGGCTTTTTTGACCATGCTATCTTGTATATTTATTTATATTTTTAATTTCCTTATTTCTTATTTAATCTTTATAGAGTATGCCTTTTTATTCGTTTATATTTTTGCTTATGTATCTGTGAATGAAAATTCATCTAAAAAAGAATCATAAACACAATTCCGTTTTTTTTTACATTATCGTATACATGCTCCTTTCACTGAACATATTTGCATGCAATGAATAATATGACGGAATCCATTAGTGGATCAGTAACTGCTTATCCTTCCGGAACATCCGAGTTCACACTTGAGTGGGATTCTGTATCTGGGAGTGTAATCGTATTTGTTTATTCGCTATGTTAGTAAGTTATTTCGTTATCATTTTGAATGTTTACTGAAGTGTTTGATAAGTTTATTCATAGTTTGTTTTTTCTTTTTCTTCTTTCAGTTGAAGCAACTTCTGAAGAGGTAAACTATCTACGATTGGTTCATCTAATGCTTAGAATAGCGACTCCTGCAGTAAGAGAAGTTTTCAACAGTGAATTTGATCCTGAATTTTTGAAACGCGGCAAAATCTTTAAAAGAAACCAATTTAAACATTTTATTGAACAAAACAACATTAGTGAAAAGGAAGTCGATCTCATTCTACCTTTTAAACGTAAGTAATTTGTCAAATAAATCATCTAAAAGACATTATTTATTAAGTCACAATACATGTAATTCTAATATATATTTGACACCTTACTTTGGGCAATAATGAAATATCCCGCCATTTGAATTGGTGAATTATACCGAATCTTACATATTCTATGTAATATAATGACTATTTTGGATTTAGAATATTTGGTGTTGTCCTTTAGAGTGATTTGTATTTGGTTCGTTCGTTATCTGATTGACGTATATCATACGTTTTCTTTAATTCATTTTTATCTGTGACATACGAATGTTTGCATGATTTTATTTAGTTGTGTAATTTTATACACAGTTATCCCATCTGATTTTTGGGAATGTTTCTGGAAGTGCGTTAATTCTAAAACACATGTCATTGGTTAATAAAGGTTTCTTGAAATTATTTAAAACACACATTGCAAACGTTTTATGAATCAAGCAATACTCTTCATTGTTTAAGAACGTGAGTAAAGAAAACATGCTGCACAATTATAAAGGGATCAACGCAGCAATGATAAAATATTATTATATTATTATATAAACAAGTGTGGACACAGATGAATGTGGATAGTATGTTTGGATGTTTGACAGTGTTTTATATGACAAAAGGAGTTCTATGTTTTTCCTATATGGTGTTATTAACTGTGTTGCACGATGACAACCAACCTGAGCATGAGGAGTGTTGTTTATTTAATATTTAGATTTTATGTTCAAGAGGGCATGGAAGAGACACTAATTGCATTAATGACCAAATGATTATGATAGAATATTTTCCACATCTTTGATTTTGGATAAATTTTGTAGCTAGGAGAGCAACACATAATAGGTTCATTTTTTCATGTGATTTTTTTTTAAATGGGAGATGATATCTGAGAACATGATATCAGGAGGCTGTAATTCAGTGGTTGTCGTTTGTCTATGTGTTACATAATATTTGTTTTTCGTTTATTTTGTGTACATAAATAACATAAATGACTATGCGTTATGGGCTTTGCTCATTGTTGAAGGCTGTACGGTGACCCGTAGTTGTTAATTTCTGTGTCATTTTGGTCTGTTGTGGAGAATTGTCTCATTGGCAATCATACCACATCTTTTTTATATGTATTTGCTCACTATTTGTATGGTTCTATTTATATTACTTTGTGGTGGATTGTCAGTATCATTAGTAAAATATTTTGTTAAAATGTTGAAATTGTTTCTCAGATTAGAAGACATTTATTAGTTTTTTAGTAATGAAAATGCCTGACATGATGCTTGGGGCTAGATGAGCTAGAAAGTAAACTTCTGTGTTGTTTTTTATCAATTCTTTGATAACATCTCCTCCAAAGCTGGCCGAAGCAAAAAAAAGTTTTGACCAATATGAAAACTATATCAACAAAAAAACCTTTGTGAGCATGCTTCAAAGACTCATAACTGCTCCAAAAGTAATCTGATAGAATTTCAAGCATGTCAAGTGGGTATTATGAAAATCTACTTAATATGTCTAAATATCAAAAAAGTTATAGTATTCAATATGAAAAAGGTATTGCAAAATTATTCTCTTTTCAATTTTTTTTGTTATATGGATACAAATATAAGTGATACCAATACAGTATTTGTTGTGGTATGAAAGTGTAGTAATTAACATTTACTGTAACAATGTTAATTCACACAAATTAAGAAATAAACAAATGAATGAAAAATGTTGAACATGTACAACGAAATATAGTTTTAGAAATCAATTAGGCCAGATAGGCCTTATAATTTTATTTTTTTTTAACATACTGAATGACCATTTACACTCAGGACCGAGTCATCAGTAGGCATTACAGATGTATTAAAACAACCTAGCATCATATTGCTAGTAGCAAGTGTAGCATTGTCGGGTAAATTTGTTCTTTTTTTAAAATTTGGTTAAAGGACAAAAAATGTTTGGTTCAAATCATAATAAAATGCTTTTATCTCCTTATTACTTACATTGTACATAGAATGGATACTACCCTGACAAATCCTTGTAAATGAGAGTTGTCTGTCAAATCTTTATTTCACAATGAATGAATTGCATAACAATGAACTGAGCTCAAAGCAAAGCACTTTAATAATACACTTAGACAAAGAGCTCAATCCAGTGATATACTTTGTACTACGGGTCCTTCATGAACATCCTATCCACCAAAACCATATCTCACAAACATGCCATACTACATGTACATGGTTCGATCAGAAGTCCTGAAAAAGATATGAATTTTATTATCATATTTTAATTATACATACACAGGTTAAAAGTTATATACTCCAATGGCAGTCTTTCCTGCTAAAATGTCATGTGTAGAATGTGATATACCATTTTTGGGTCTATATGGGTACTGTCCTTTATATTCATTAGGTCATTTTGACACAGCAAAATATATAGAAAATGTTAACTTTGATCTGGAAATTGAGTTCTTTTTCGCAAATTAAACCCACTAAAACTAAACTTTGAATGCAAAAGACCCCTAAATGGCTAACAGATATTGCTATAAAGAATAGTCCATGATGATTATTGTTATTAAAGAGTTCATGAAATGTACACTGATTCTGTCAGTTGAATGGACTAGAATGAGATAAGTTATATAAACATAAACATGATAAAGGTTTTTTCAACAGTTGTGGTGTAAATTAAATCTGTTTTATTTTATGGTTGACATATTTAAGTATATATGTAGATCATTGGCTTTTCAACACATTGATATTTTACAATATCGATTATCTATTTATTGTTATATTGTTGGTATTTTTCACCTACCTAAAACAGTTTTAACGCAACATGAACGCAAGCTTGATAGATCTTGATAGGGTGTCCTCACATATTTTGACGTTGCTGAAAAATTTTGGTTGACATATGTATCCTCTTCTCATCGTTTTTCGTGCTATTAAGAATGCATACTGTCGTCACAATTTCCATTGAAAAGGCATGCATAGTACAAATTCATATGACGTACGAAAACATATGATCTGACCATATACATGTACATATAGGTTATCAGCTTTTCTACACATATTAGCCAGTAAGCCGCAATGAACCTATTATGGCGAGCGAGCGCAGCTAATGAGCTAAAATAAATCAAATTTGTGTCCTCAGTGGGGGATATTTTAAGGGATCTATATGAAGAAAACCTGATCATCTGTTTATCGTTCTATTACTGGCTTTTTCACCTCCCTAACTTGGCCTAAGACAGTTTTTACAGACGAAAGCAAGCTTGATAACTACTCCTCACACACATGTATAGATTATCGGCTTTTCTACACGAGTCATGAATATCGTAAAATGTTAGCCAGTGAGCAGGCCCGCAATGAACCTTTTTAGCGAGTGAGCCCAGCTAATGAGCTAAAATGAATCAAATTGTGTACTCAGTCACAGTTGGTGATATTTTAAGGTATCTACACAAAGAAAACCTGCTTATATAAATCTCAGTGGCGGATCCACAACTTTTCATAAAAGGGGGGTGGCCACTCCCGTCATGCTTCCCCAGTGGCGGATCCGGGGGGACGGTTCCGAGGGTTGGACGATCAATGCATTTGAATGGGGACACATAGTTGGAACCCCCCCCCCCCCCCCACCCTTTGTCCCGGGTTGGGAACCCCCCTTTTATAAAATGGCTGGATCCGCCCCTGCTTCCCTATAAAATCAACCAAATTTTCCCCACCCCCTGGATCCGTCTATGTAACTGTTTATCGTTCTGCGTAATACTGGCTTTTTCACCTCCCTTACTTGGCCCTAGACAGTTGCTTATCTGTTTATCGTTCTGTCACTGGCTTTTTTTTAGACTAGAGACTTCATGTGTACAAACCTGACGTCAAACTCGTGTACTATAAAAGAAGAGACAAATAATTTCACATTAAATCCTGTAACATTACATCTACAGATAATTATAATCCAAAGTAACTTATATTACGATGTCAATGGACTAAATTCCCGCGCAAATGTCATCACTGGGATAGACCAAAACGAATTTTAGGTTTATGTATCATTCACATTCCGATCAATTTACTCAGTTAAATAAAATATATGTGTTAACTATTTTTATATTGGTTTTGAATTTAGTTAATCTATCAGACAAAAGGATTTATTTCTCGCAGATAGCCCTCAATACTATACACCAACTCGACACTGAAGCTAAAAAACCCTAAAACATAATAGTATATGGAATCGTCCAAACGGATTACCTAATATTGATATAGGTGAAATATGTAGATTCAGAATTGTGTACACAGAAATAAGATCAGAAATAAAGCCCTATGTAAGGTGAAAACAATAACACAACTGTATAAAATCATTGTTTATTAAATTTGCTTGCATAAGAACCATGAAGTTAAAATTTATAACGATTACGTTTATCCTGTCAACCCCTTTTCTTCATTGCATCAAGGCTTCCGTTGCTTTACATCGAGCAGCAATTCAACCAATCGGGGAATGTTAAGTTGGGACATACCTCTATTTTTTGGAAGCGTGATATTTACATCGAGGCATGCGTTGCTTTACACCGAGGCCACAGTAGTTCGACCAATCGGGGAATGTTTATTTGGGGCATGTGACCTATTGAACTGCAGGTTTTATAATATTTTAATCGAAATTGTAGAACAATGAAATGTTGTTAGTACATACAAAACAGAAAATGATGAATACTTTTAGTAAAAGATAATTTGGATCCGGGTTCTGTGTATTCACATCATTTGTACAACTCTCCTTACTGATGCCATTTTTTGGAATTTCTGTGACCTAAATGGTTCGCGAAAATTAATATTTTATTATATATATAGTAATTAAAATATTGAAGGTTTTTTTCTTAAAGTCGAAAACAATTGTTTGTACCAAGGATATATCAAAGCTCGCCCTTCCCCCCTTTTTTTTTTATTAAAGTCGAAAAAATTATTTGTTTGTACCGAGGAAATGTCAATACAAGCCCCCTTTATACACACACATACACAAGATAAGTAATAAATGGCCTGTGCCTAAAAAAATTTTTTGTA